AAGTTGAAAATATTGACTATCAACCAGCATACTACTCATACTTAACAGTCGCGCCAGCATAGCGCATGGTAGGGTAATTTTTTGACCGTCTACATTGGAAAAACTTATAATTGAGACATCAATGAATACACAAATGGTCAATAGAAAAGAAACCTAAAACAGGTATTTCCTTTCATAAACAAAGCTAGCGGATAATGCAATAAAGACCTCACTATACTTTAGATGTGAACACATCCGCGTAAAGAGTGAGGGAATTTCAAATATATGTACCGCAACTGCAGTTATATGCTAACGTCGCACTCATGTAAATAATAAGGTAAATAATAAAGGCCAAAAGAGGAAGATTTAAAAAAAATACGTGAGGGATTAGAAGATGATACCATGAAGCAGACACCCACCATCGCAGAACAAGATCTCAACACCTCCCATTCATACAACCTGCATTTTGTACAGCATCGAAAATACACTTTACATGCCTCCATTATTCTCTTGTGATCGCGTCATATGAACCAACCTGGTTTCAGAAGTAACAGACTGAATATGCCCCACCCGGATATTACTCAGTTTGCACTTGTATAAAGTTCGCAAATTCATCCTATTATTTTTAATGCATAATATATGTCAGCTGCCTTGCACTTATGTCGGCGTGCATTATATTTTAACTGGGTTCGTCCAACGGGTTAGGCCAGACCAGAAGTAGTAAACACTGCTGTTCATTTTATTTTTAGACATAAATCCGACAGGAGAACAGAATTCCTCAACACCCACAACGGAAAATGGTATGACGAATGTGTTTGCTATATTTCACCTCAATTTAAAAACTCTCATACAAATCTATTATTATTCCTATTTACAACTATCCTTGTGCCTTTTTCTTCTTATGGAACTGTTGTTGTAAATGTAAGTTTGCTATAGTTTGTTCCACCTGGTAGACGTTGTATTTGTATTTCTGTCCTAATAGTTAAAATATGTTAATTATTTCACTTAATGAGGTGTTCAAGCATCTTTTTAGCCGCTAGTTCGGATAAAGGAGCAATCCCCATTCGATCTTTAGGAATTACTACGTTACTAATGGTACAATTTTATAGGTATTATTAAGGGTAATACTGATACGCATATATGCATCAACTTGTGTTAACATACGTGTACATCATCTGTACGAAGGGATCTTTACTGCTAAGCAGTCAACCGAACACTGCTCAGATGGGAGAGTTGTCACAACAATTTCTCTGCTATATGACCGCACTGCAATAAAGTGTTATGCACTAAACTGTTATCGGAACATACTCAACCTAATGTGTCTTAGAGCTTAACCAAACCCCTCGTTGGCACTCTTGCCTAGCGTATAGGCACGTAGAGATATACGGTAGCATCAACAATAACAGAGAAGACGGAGATGGCTATTTGTGATTTAGTGGCCGCGCCTGGGAATGGGTATGACAGGCTGATGACAACTAGTAAAGCATACGAGGCCATTCCGGTTTCCCGTGCCTTAGTTCTTACTACCTTATCTGAAGACGCTAACGAGTGAAATGTCCTCTCATGTCCTGTGTTAAGCGTCGGAATAGCAACCTAG